TTCAGATTTTGGCATATTATCAGGCTTGGACAATATATTTTGTATCACACACTTTTATTTATCTTTGTAGTGCATTAACCGAATTGAATTGTAATATATGTAGTAATATATAAAAAAGTAGTCCTCATGTTACTTCTCAAACATCTCACAAATGACGTGAATCGCAAGTAACTTTTTCAAGGAGATTAAAAAAACACTTTCTCAAGTAGCCTCTGAAAAGATTTAAAAGAATTTACTGTCTAAATTCCTTTCTGAAATAGCCAAAGAGATCTAAAAAACTAATAATTTATGTAAAAACTTTCTGAAGAGATCTCAAATATACTCTTTAAAAATAATTTATGAAAAAGCTTTCTAGAGAGTCCTCATGTTACTTATTATGGAGTATGAAGTATTTGGGTATTGTTTTTAGATAATTCAGCTCATTTAGCCATTCCAGATACAGCTTAAGCAAATCTAACCACTTCAGCCTATTTTTAGTCAACCAAGATACCAAAGAGGCACACTAATCTTGAACCTCTAAATTTCTGCCCCTATACTATCAGCCTGTTGTCCCTATCCAAGAAACACTTTCAGAAGCCAATGCTAAATTCATATAAATGTTTCCCTGAGCAGGATTGGCGAGCAACAAACGAAAGAAGAAGCAGAAGATGGGCCACCAGAGTTGCTTTTTGTTCATGGAGGCCATACAAGTAAAATTTCTGACTTCTCATGGAATCCGTGTGAAGATTGGGTCATTGCCAGTGTAGCTGAGGATAATATTCTACAAATCTGGAAAATGGCTCACCATATATACCATGAAGACGATGATCTACCAGGAGATGCTGCCATCTAGTATCTACATTTATATTAAGGTTTTGTATTTCCCAGCTATCATTGCATTATACAAAGTACACAGAATGGAGTATAAGTTATGCATATTTTTTTATGTAAAAAACTGAAGTTTTGGAGATTATTTGCATGTTTTGAGGATAACATAACATCATCTTGACAACCCTTAATGCTGTAAAAGAAACACGCTTTAAGGACCTGCATCCCTTAAAAATTGTAGACCACTAACATGAAAAAACTTCTTTCCTCAAAAGAATAAGCCAAGGACACAAGAATATATTAATAAATACTATTAGTACGTATTAAAAATATAAGAACTGATTTGCAAATACTAAAGTATGAAGGATGAAATAATAAATGCTTCATATTTAATGAATATGAAAATTAAAAATGCATATGCAATGACTTGTTTACATGTGCTTGTTGTGATGATAACCTTTTTTTTGTCTCTCATCTAGAAAATGTGCGTGCTGGCAGTGAAAGAATCAACATGGATGGTGCAATGTAGGATTGTAGGTGGTGGATAGGGTAGTTGTGCATACACCGGAGTTAGCTTGGCTGCCGATGATAGGGATTAGGGAGAAACATAGTTTGTTGTAACATTGGTGTTGGTAAATTGAACCAGCAGTTTGAGATCAATGAACTGCAAAATTAAAGTCACTGAAGACTTGAATAAACTATTTGTAATAAGGACTTCACATTTTGTGTCTTGTATTTTATTTTGTTGGACACGTTTGTCCAGCATTTACAATTTATAAAACCGTCTTAAAAAATTCGGAGTATCATGCATGTTTTTTTTATGTTCATTGTGTCTGACACGGGTACGACACATGAAACAGTTTACCCGACATAGTTGTTATCTTCACCTGAAAGAATATGTCTAGATCTGTTTTGGCTCAGGCTTGAACTGGAACTGGTGCCTGTTTTAATAGTTCAGATTCGGAACTGTGATCTAAAGTCAGTCCCAACACTCCAACAGTCCAACCAGGTACAGTTCTAAACACTAACTAACACCCAATGTTATCACAGGGTTAAACGGCCATAGATTTCTGACTTAGCATTATGCCATATCTTCCAATTTCCATGTTCCAAAGTCCAAACATAGCATTAGTGTTCCTTCATTATTAGCATGAGCGTTTTTGAATTAATTTAATTTACTCCCAGTGTTTCATGTTTGTCTGAATTCGGGTGTACCAAAATGATAACCACAATTTGGTCTGGACTAGCTCGAAATTCGAGCCTCGAATGTTATGGTCATCTAATTTGGTTTGGTTAAGATAATCATAAGTACGGACGTACGGTGTAACAAACAACAAATCAAGAGCCAGCACACCTAAACTTGCCAACTGTTATGTTGTAAGATTGATAACTATATTTGACTCAACTATTCGGCTGAAATTAATGTTAAAAGAATGAATTTGTCTTATGAGAACTTAGAAGATTCATGGGTTTAGCAAAATAATTCTTGCCAAAAGGATCTCGTACTCTCATGTCTATTTTTTATGTGTAAATTAAAAGAGCTTTTAAGTGTTTTAAATAAAGAATAGATTTGGTAACCTCTACTTTTTGCTAAACATATAATTTTTGATTTCATGCACGACGAAGTGGTCCAGTTCAATTGGTTGTGACTCAGTCTCCTTTATGGGAGGTCCCAGATTTAATACTCAATGGAGTGATCAGTTTGATCCCAGTTTACCCCATGCCCCCCGCCTCCCATGGGGTAAAAAAATTTATTTTATGCGTTGAATTGTGTAATGCCCAAAATAAGCAAGATTGTTGCTACTTTTTTTTTGGCTAAATTGATTGAAGTTATTATATATGATCATTTAAGCTTAACTATATTTTCATATAATTTTTTATTTATTTAACTAATGGGATTTTTTTTGCATAGTTTAGCCAATTGAGCTGCTTCAACAAGAATTTTATCAGTTCTAGTAGATTGGGTTTCATTGCTACAAAACAAGCTCAAAACCTTGCACTTGTTTGTTCAAAGAACTCAAGAGTAGAATGTTTATGGAGTGCTTCTTTAGCTTCTACAAGATTTATTTTAGAGATTATATGTAAAGCAAATAATATAATAAAAGTTAATAATGTTTAAAATGAAAAAAATTAACAATGTTTAAAATGAAAAATGATTTTGAAAAAGTAAAGTTAGAGTGTTATGTAAAAATAATATTTTCTGTGAAATTGTTAAAATGGAAGTAGTTTAAAGCACATACCCCATTGCTTTCAGCTTCAAAATGTGTAATCTATGCATAAACATATATTTGAAAACACTAATTTTAGGCTTTTAAAGCTAAAAGGATAAAATTACTTTTGAGGCAAATGCAATTACCGAGTATTATTTTAGTGTCGTGGTTTTGTTTTCCCTTCTTCCCTACGACCCAACCTATTCATCATATATTAGTAGAGCAAAAGTTGTCTATTGTGATTTTTTAACTTTTAAATTTGGCATGTTTATGCGCGGAGTTTGGTTAAAACGTCAACCAAAACATGAACATAAGGAAAAAATGTCTACAAAATTAGTTAGTAGTCAGAATAGAAAATATACATGTTCGAGAAGTCCAAAGAATTGAAAAAAATACCAGAAAATAAAAGAAAATGGCTGGTAGGAAAACAAGCTATTGTGGATTCATGTATACGTGCATTGTACCACACATTTTTTCAACATTAACATTGAAGTTTATTATATACTCCATATATATTATAATTATAATAATTTAATAATAACACATACTAAGTATAGTTAAGTTGAGATGTATTGGCCCACCCCACGTTGCTAAGATTCCCAAGGCTAAAACATCCGCCGTCTTAAACAAAAACAAATGATACCGATGTCTTTATGCTAAAGTACGTTGTGTTAAAATACAAATAATGAATTTAAATATGAATATATAGCATCACAAATAACAAAAAGTTAGGTTGATCGAATAAATACTGTATTGTTATTATTTAGTGTGAAATGAAATGTTATGAACTTATGATTATTATTGTTGTAGATCACAAAGTGCTACATTATATAATTATATTGTTATAGTTATTTTTACATTTAAATTACTATGAGATTATATTATAGCAATTTGTAGTCATATTTTTGTAAATAAATTTCATGTTGATATTATTAAATATATTTATAATAATAGCTTACTTACAATTTAGAACTCTTTAAAATGCAATGATGGACAACATAATTAAATTTTAAAAATCAACTCCTCCCAGTATTACTGTGTTTTAAAACTCAGAAAACATTTCGATTTGAAAATAAATTGAATAGGCAGAAATTTGATCCTTTCAAGGAGTATTTCAAATTAAAGATCAATTGCAAATTTGCAATCAATTAACGAAGTTACTTTAATCAATTATTAGTATGAATATACCAAAGATGCGACTATGCAAGTGTCCCACTCACATGCTTTGAAAGACAGGCTTTAATTTGGCTTATCTAATTTGGTTTAATTTGGTGGTTTATTCTTCCTTAATTTCAAGTAAATCATGTTTAAATATTACAACGACATTAATGTTCACGGGTCTTCTTCTATTGAATCTTTCATATACGGAGTATAGTTTAATTTTCAATGTGATTTGTAATCATTTTGGATCCATATTGTAAGGCTCTAAGTGAAAAAATTAGTCGCATTAACTATTAACTTGTTCTTTTGAATTGACTTTTTTACCTGAATAGGTAAATAAATCACTCTCTTCTCGTCTTTTCGTGTTAACCTTTTTCCTAAAATGTTACTCCATATTAGAATTACATTTATAAATAAAAATGTGATTCAAATAGTTATTAATACATTTTCACCCTTCAATATAGAGACCGTTTAGTGATTATATCTTTTTGTCTTATCAGCTTTTTTCTTTGAAATTTCATCTTATCAGTTTTATTTACTAACTTTTTATCCAAATACGTACGAATAAATTTTTCTTTCATGCAGAATTGTGTAATAATTAAAATAAATAAGATTGAAATTATAGGTCTAATTGGAATAACTGTAATTATAGTAGATAATCATTTTAACTATTTTTCATATATATATATATATTTTCAATTTAACCACTTTAATGAGAAGTTCATTTTCAATTCAATCAATGTACCGAAAAGGTCCTAAAATTTAAACATTGAGATAATCCAAAACAACATTGTTTTTGCAACAACCAAACAACAAAGTTGAAAAGACTAATTAGGTGAGCATTTTTTGTTTGAAGAAATGAGCGGAGAATCCGATAAAAGGGGGGAAAGGAAGAACTGTCTTCTGCACTTGCTTCATTTCTCGGCTAACCCTTTTTTCTCGCTCAATTCAAATTGTTTTCACGCAAAATTTAGGAATCTCCCCCGCGCGCGCTCTTCTTCAACCATTTTCATGATCTCCACCTATATCTTCCCTTAACCTCCCCCCTGTGCGTGTTATTTTTAATTTATCGGCGATCAATTCTCAGGTATGAACCTTCGAAGCCCTTGGTCCAGTGATCATCATGATTTTGTTTATTCTTTGCTTATATGTTTTTCAATTTAGTGGAAGTAAACCTGGATTGGAATGGTAGATGGATAGAGAGTCATGTGATTGGGTTCTGAAATAATAATTAAAAAATCCTCTTTTCTGGGCCTCGTGTCGTTGCTTACTTGCCTGGATTGTTTATTCATTTTCCATACTGTATCTTGACGTGTTTTCTCCGCTGTGTCATGTTGTTGCTTGGTAGGGTAAGGTTGCTTTATCTGAATCTTCGGTTGCCAATTAATTAGGTATGTTTATCTAATATATATTATGTGGCTTAACCCAAGTAGTATGCTCTATGCGTATAAAAAAGGTTGAATCTCGTGGGAGTATAGTAAAGTTTGGTTCTTTTTGGGTGTTCATCTTTTGCTTGCAGATCCAGATTTGCTTGTGTGCTAGGTTGGTTTTAAATTCTGATTTAGTTAGCCTACTTTTGATTTCTCTTTATTTTATGTTGATTGCGTACATTTGGTTTCGAATTATAGGGTTCCTGATTGGTTCTTGTTTGTATTGGTTGAGTTCATTGTAGTTTGGAGTAGATAAGCTATGTTATATACTTTTTGAGCCTCAATGCTTGCACGAATTTAATGATATGCTGTTGATTTGCTGTGGGCTTAGGCTGAATATGTTCTGCAGGTTGTGATTGATATTGTTTAATGTCAACCACTTTTCATGGAAACTTGAACTTCATTCATTTATAAGCTGTTGTACCAAATAAAGGAAAATGTTTTTTCTCTTGCTTCTGGGAGTTCTGGATGATTGAAAATGATGGATTTGTCAAGAAACATATAGTTTTCTAGTCTAAAGAACTCTTCATTTTTATATTGATAACGATGGATTTGGCAAGAAAATGATGTATTGTAACAATTCTGAATATCTGGACTTTCTTTTTCGCTATCCCTTTTTAGGGAAAATAAAGGTGGGTTTCCAATATGCATCCTAGTACCCACCCCATTATTTTAGTGCCTTTTTTGGTAATGATTGTTTGGCTGAATTGGTGATTGAATCTGCTGAACTTATGACACAACAAGTGTTTGGTAACAATCATTTCAGCCAAAAAACCTACCAGACAGGGCCTGGCAATTCTTAAGAATTGTAGATCCTCTTTTATTTTAGGCATTATAAATCCTAAGGTTGATCACATCATTGTGATTTTTGCTGAGTTCTGATCAATCAAAACACAATCCTCTTTGTGAGAAAGCAAGAATCATTGGTCATAATAATTGATATGCGCATCTTTCTTTGAGAATCTGACTCTTCCCCTTAAACTTTATGAAACAATGCAATGACTGATCACACTATTTTGTTCTCTATAAACACTTCATACAGGAAAATGGCGAAGGGAACAAAAGTAGGGAGATTCAGGTCATCATCAAAGTTCAGGTCTACCCCATACCCCTTGTCGCCTTCTGTGGATCACCAACCAGATGACCTTAACCACAAAAAATGTTCCAAACAACATGAAAAGAAAGACTGGGAAGATGCGACATGCTCTGTATGCATGGAATATCCGCACAACGCTGTCCTTCTTCTCTGCTCCTCTTATGAAAAAGGCTGTCGTCCTTACATGTGTGGGACAAGTTTCCGCTACTCAAATTGCCTCGATCAGTACCAGAAAGCTCACAGAAATGTCACACCCTCACACCATACCCTGCCACTTCTTGATCTTTCCATTGATCAATGCGAGACTGTGAATCTTGCTTGCCCACTTTGTCGTGGCCAAGTGAAAGGTTGGACTGTGGTTAAGCATGCTCGAGAATTCTTGAATGCAAAGAAACGTGGATGTATGCATGATGACTGCCCGTTTGTGGGGAACTATAAGGCAACAAGGAAACATGTTAGGGCAGACCACCCCGCTTCTAAACCACGTGAGGTGGATCCGGTTCTTGAGGAGAAATGGAGACGAATCGAGCGAGAACGGGAGATGGGTGATGTTATCAGCACGATAACTTCGTCCATGCCAGGTGCGGTGGTGTTCGGTGATTATGTCATAGAACAAGGGAGTAGGTATGGTTTTGATTCGGAGGACGAGGATGACGAATTTGATGGAGATGGCGATGATATGGAAGAGGTGGAGGAAGAGAATGAGGACTTCGGGGTGGGAGTTGATGGGAATTTAATGAATGTCTTGCTTCTTTTGCAGGCTTTTGGTTCGTCTGGTAATGTTGGCCGAAACAGAGACTCCGGCCAACACAGCAGGGTGAGTAATGTTTTGGATGAAGGTAATGGTGATGATACATCATTAGTTGCTGCACATCTCCGCAGCCAAAGTGGGTTTGTTTTGCGGGATGGTGGTAGATCCAGGCGTAGTAGGCAGCGGGGAGATAGAGGTCAATGATAGGTGTTGTGCTAATGATGGAGGTTTTAGTAAAGATGAAAAGATTATTCAGGTCTTGGTATATTTGTTCTAGTCTGATAAGGGGGTGCACATACACTTTGGGATCCATTCTGACATCCCAATCTGCTTGCCACTTGTGTTAATATTACATGGATTGTCTGGTTTGGTAGATCCGGGGCAGGCGAGAGTGGGGCATTCTGGACACCTTCAAGAAAGTTGACTCTTTATTTGTAGTTTTAAAATTACTGATGTTAATTATCTCCTTGTCTTAATTCTCAACCGACAAGTAGTCGTCGGTCAATGTAATTTATGCAAACTAATGTGTATGTCCTTGTATATTGTAAATACTGCCTTCACTATTCATTAATTGTAACATTTTACTTTTACGCTATTCATTCATATGCTTTAGTGCAGTGCGATTACATTGTATTTGTTAATTGTTCAGAAAATGATAGTGTAAGAAAACAGTTGACAAAGGAACTGAGCCATTTTGGCGATAAATAAGCAATCACTAGGAAAATTATATAAAAGGAATTGTGAGTTTGACATGCCTCTTATTTTTAGAGATAATCTTACTCTTTCACATCCTCATGGTTCTTTTTGCTAGCTAAGGCAAACAGAAAATGATTTACCCATCTCACATGGAACTCAGCCATACCTCGAGCAAAGAAAAGGCCTCATTATTAGGTGCGCACATTGGTTGGAAATCTGGAATGTTGGATAGATGGTCCCGATTCCAGTTCCTATGATCACTAGTTCCAAATCCAGTCCAAACTGCGATTTAGATTGTATATTCTTTCGTTTTAATTCTACAAATCGTTGGTTCTGATTCGGATTCAAACCATGATACACGTGTCCACCCCTATTCTTTACACATTGTCAATTTTTTCCTAGAGATGTTACCGTTAATGTGTTGATAAATTTATAGGGTCGCCTAAAATTTTGAAACCATAGTGTAACTTGTAAATTCATATGTGTAGGCCATGAGCTTACCTCATTGCATAACGTTAAAACAGTGCAGTAAATTTCATTTAGTAAAGGAAGATATTCTTAAATGTGGCCAAATAAATACAGTACATATTTGTTCCATATCTCATATATCCAAACTTTAATGATCTTCGGCACAACACCTGTTTTTGACAATATACACTGGCAACTTTCTACTCATCCCCTCTTTCCACCACCACCACCTTCTGCTTTACCTTCTAGGTCACAAGTTTCAGTCCCATCTTCTCCATTTCGGTTAAAATAATATTACCTCCTATAGTCCTATATGACTCCCTTTGCACATAGATTATGTTTCTTCTTCATCACTGTTTTCTACCTTTCCCATCAAATATGCATACCTTGGATCATGCAAAGTGTATAGATTATTGAACCAAAAGAGAGCAAGAAAATTATGAGCAATATCTACAACTAGGGATGTGTATTAATTGATTCAATCTTAATAGTTCAATTAACTAATTTCTATATTTCTATTCTATAAAGATTAAGAAATATAAATATATGTGAAAAACAAAAATAAAAAATAAAATCAATTGCTTTTTTTGTTTTGTTTCCCCCTTGTTATTTAAAATTATTTTGCTTAACGTTTCACTCCTTTCCCTAAACATCTCCCATGTTCCAAACATAACCAGTTAGCAAAAAAGTGAGCTGACAACCATAAAAACTTAAATTTACCCCTAGGAGTTCTGAGCGTCTGAGGTGTCCAAAGGAAGCAGTATGACACACAGTAGTGCAAATGCAAGAATGTCCCAGAATACAGTGATGATTCAGGCACTCTGCCACCTCTCGCCGAAGGGATCTGTCGCTTTGAAGTAAACCTTCACCTAATGAAACTCAATGACCAGTACTCCTCAAGATTACTTTTTTAAACGTTCAGACTTTGCACACTCAATCTTATTTTTCAATCATGCCCAAATTTTAGGTGTAAAGTTGATGTAACAAGGAAAAAAGAGGGAGATGGTAGATCAAATATTGCAGCTGACATGGATAGGATATCTACTTGAATAGCAAACAAAGTTTCCAACATTCTTAATGATTTTCAAACTGGTGCCAGAGATAAGCGGCACAGAAGTTCCAATGCAGTAAAACTTCCTTCTAAAGTATGAAAAGCACAAATGCATAAGATCACTCGGTTTTATGCCATTGAAATGAAATTAACTAATGGAACAGAGATTTCTCAAAATACACAAGCAAGAGCACTTCATTACGCATCCATATGCAATTGAGCTTCTGTTTGTTTCCCGGAAGACTGGAAATAACTTGTTGCCAGTTATTTTCAGAGGAAAAAGATTTCCAGGGAAAAAAGTTGTTATGTGCATTAATATATACTCCGTATAATATAATACGGGCAATTAAATCTTTTCATGTCTCTTGAGACTAAGGCTTGGATGTTGTCGTTGTATTAAACCTTTTCATGAAAACATTTTAAAACGTGAAAATAAGAGAACATCTTCCTATTCTTTTATTTGCCTTGGACATGAAAAGAGGCATGATATTAATAAAGTTTACAAATATTAACCAGTAAAAGTTCAGCAGAATGCCAAAGTTGCGTTGACAAAGTACATGCCTCATACCCTATCCAAGCAACTGAAGCAATCAGCTAATGCATTTGAGAATTATCTACACAAGTCCAACTTCTATTTCCTGAAACTGTAAATTCATGTTTCATCACTAAGGATTTCAATATCAAATGTTTCCCACACTGCTTTTCCAATTACTTTGATTCCTTTAATACTTCCCTAGTAGAAAGTTTAATTATAAAGCGATTTGAAGATCAAAATCTTGTGGCAATATGGGCCATTTTTCACATGCCAACAAAGTACACCACACCCCCACACTCATCTATCAGTAAATAAAAAAGGATTCTGGGCAAATTTGTAAAATGTCAACAAGCTAAGCCTCATGGAAAATGTAAAAGATTATGGTTACAAAGTTTTCAAGATGCATGCATTGCTTAATACTCTGTATTAACAAATGAATATTTGGTAATAAGTTCTAACCAAAATAGGCCGAGCTCATGAGTTGGACTCCATTTATGTTAAAATAATCCAAAATCTTCCAAATTAATGCATTTGGCAGCACTGTTTTAGTATATAAAACAACAACATACCATTCTGAGGAAGTAACTCAAGTAAGTAATTGCTTCCCTAATCTCTCCTCTAATTACCTAATGACGAGGAAGAAAGTGAAGCTCGCCTTCATCGCCAATGACTCCGCTCGAAAGGCGACGCTGAAGAAGCGGAAGAAAGGGCTGATGAAGAAGGTCAGCGAACTGAGCACGCTGTGCGGGGTCGACGCCTGCGCCATAATCTACAGCCCGTACGAGAACCAGCCGGAGGTGTGGCCGAACACGGCGGGGGCTCAGCGGGTGGTTGCGCAGTTCAAGAGGATGCCGGAGATGGAGCAGAGCAAGAAGATGATGAACCAGGAGAGCTTCATCAGGCAGAGGATCGCCAAGGCCAGCGAACAGCTCAAGAAGGTCCAAAAGGAGAATCGGGAGAAAGAGATCACGGAGGTGATGTACCAGTGCCTGAACGGCAAGGCGGCGGGACTTCTGCAGAGCTTGCTCTTGACGGACTTGAACGATCTCGCCTGGATGCTGGATCACAACCTCCAGGAGATCGACAAGAGGATGGAGGCTCTCAAGAAGGCGCCACCGGCGCCTGCGCCTCCGCCAGTCCCTCAGCCGGCCGTAGTACCCCCGGCTGTCACAGCTGCTCAGCCCCAGCAGCAGGAAGTGGCGGCGGATTTAGAATTGGGGCAGAGACAGAATTGGTTCGTGGATTGGATGTTGAGTAACCCTAATGAACATATGGGGTTTGAGCATGGCGGGGGCAGCGGCGGCGCCGGTGGCGCAGGGGAGGAGATGATCATGCCTAACCCGATGTGGTCCGGTGCATTCTTTCATTAGGTGATGATGATTACTTACATCTCCATTTTCTTCAGATTATCAGATGGTCAAATAGTCAAACTCCTGGAGGAAGAGATTTCATTTTTATTTTCTATAATTGTTTCATTTTGCTAATTTAATGGTACCTTCGTTTCCCCTTTTATCTTTCCATTATTATTATTTCAGATAAACTCATCTATTTTAGAACCATTTTGAGTGCAAGTTGTGCACATGCCAATTTTGCAATATACACATACAATTGGTTTACATATTTGTAAAGTTCTATGATTATGACATGAATAAAAACGTGTACAAATGCCAAAATAAACCAGAGAATATTACCCGAAATAAGATTAAAAAGGTTTGAAAATTCCAAAATAGGATTGTCATGTTTTTATTCTCAAAATAGGACTAATTATTGCCATGTTTTGGCAGTATCAGACTTCAAACATGACAATATTTTCCAAATTTGACAGTAATTACTCCTATTTTGGAAATAAAAAATATGACAGTGAATTTTCAAAACTGTTTTAGTCCAACCTTCCCTATAAACAAATGTTTCATCTCATATTTGACATACTCCATTTGACCATTTCATTCGGTAATTTTTTTCATGTTCTTTTCAGATTTTGATCGTAATCCCACTCGTACATACCCCAAGATGTTTTGGCTAAAGAATATGGACTATTTTGATATTTAAAAAAGATAAATACATACTGTCATAACTTAAAATTTGAATACTTTAATCTTGAAGAAACACGACACATTTTTAAAATACATTTAGCTACAATGGATATAATGATTATAATCTGCGTAAAGCATATAAAACATTGTAGAGGCATGCATGTTTGTTAAATATGTACTCCATCATGTACGTAGAAACATAATGCACATATAGTATTAGTCAGGGATGGATTTAGGGGCGCGGGGGGCGACCGCCCCCTTGGATTTTCAAAATTTTCTACCATATATGTAATATTTTCATAGAACTTTCATAATTTAATTAGATTCGCCCCCTTTAGTTACGTTTTTAATTTTCAAAATTAATATATAGTCTTACATTATGTAATACTTAATTGGAGATTTGAAAGAAGTAACATATAAAATAATTTACATAACTTAAACAAATAAACAATAGAATAACTCGTTGTTTAAGATTTGGGATACTTATTATATAAAAATTCCTAGTTTTGTAATGTTTAATTATCTTTATTAGATAACAAGTACTGGATTTTGTAAAATATATATCAAATGATATTAAATACCAGACACACTAATTACACAGTATTTAGATCACGTGAAATGATCCAAAATATAAATGTTTATTGAAATTAAAGTACATAATTTGTTTACTTCTTGCTTTCTAAAAAATAATTTATTGCATAGATAATAAACTTTAAATTATTATAGAATTAACACAAATATTAAAATATAATATGTACCATATATATAATATGTGGTGCATATTATCTAAAAATAATAATCCCATAAATATTACTATTGTAATATTAAGAAAACTTCTCATGAGTCATGACTCACGAACACCCTCCTTGGTAGACAAAAATTACAATTCAATAACCGATTCATGAGGTTAAACAATGTAGAAGTTATTTAAAATGTATTGGTTGATGTCTTTGTCATTTTCTAAACTTAGAATGTAATAGATTTAAATATCGTTGGGAATATGTATGTATTAATGTCATTTTTTGAATTAAAATAGCCGCATAGCCCTACAACACCGAAAAAATTCGCCCCACTACACTATGGAAAAAAAATTCGCGCTGCTACATTAACGAAAATTTTTTCGCCATCTACACTAACGAAAAATTTCGCCCCCCTTGAGTCAATTTCGTGGATCCGTCCCTGGTATTAGTCAATTTGTGTGTTGTATAATGTATATATAATATATGAGAGAGCTTGTAAAATGGTTATTACGTTAAGTTTTTCTTGGTATGAGCTAACGAGTAATGTACACCTCATAGTTGCGGGGTGATATTATTCATTGTATGCATTCAAACCATCTTCGTTCACATTTCCTATATCTATCAAACACAACTAAAAAGTATGTAGCCAATAAGGAAAAAATTATAATTAAGAAATGGAAAATATCATACTGTTCAAATATAATTGAACTAGTTATCTTCGAACTATTAAATTAATACCTAAATAAGAAAATCATAATTATGATTCTAGGATGATAATTGTGTGGTTCACAATTATCCTCTAATCCTAAGGAGTTTAGTTTTTCTCCTATAAATAAGAGTCTTCTCCTTCTCATGGATTATAACTAAGACACCATTACCACATCTCTAATACACCCCTATCACGTATATAGGGAGTGGTTCCAGTAAGAAAGGAATCCCAAGAGAGAAATGAGAATGAATCTGAACCGTTGGATTGTATTATGTGAATTAAATTGTGCATTTGGTAAAACTGAAATGCGTATTAAGTGAAATTGAAATGTGCAGAATGAAAAGTAAAACTCAAATGTGCATTACTTGAAATTGAAATGTGCAGATAAAAGGCACAAAAATGCCATTGCATCATAGTTTTTAAGTTCGTACATTTCAGTTTCACATAATGCACATATCAGTTTTCCATAATGCACAATTCAGCTTCACATAATACCACTGTGCCTTACATTTTGTGTTGCACATTTCGATTTCACCTAATGCATATTTCAGTTTCACTTAATGCACATTCAATTTCACAGAATACAATCTAACTGTCCAGATTCATTCTCATTTCTCTCCTAAGATCATTTTCTCACTTGTTGAACCTAATTCCCTATCACACCATTAATAATATCTTTATCACTAAGTGCTCATAGTATATCTCTCCATAATATTTTGCTTACTTCCTTTCATTTCATAACACATTATCAACACGATGGTACAATCGATCTTGCGTTGTATTTCAAGAGTGGTGCAAATGCCACATTAATTGGCTATGCCGATGCAGGATACTTGTCCGATCCACAAAAGGCAAAATCACAAACATGATATTTATTCACCTATGGTGATACCGCTATCTCGTGGAGATCAATGAAGCAAACATCATCAAATCATGCAGAATTAATTGCTCTTTATGAAGTAGGTTGAAAGTGTGTCTGGTTGAGATCAATGATCCAACACAAGCAAAATGAATGCGGTATAAAATCTTTTACTTGTGATCCCATTGTGATTTATGAAAATAACACGACATGTATAGCTCAGGTCAAAAGAGGTTACATCAAAGGGGACACAACAAAGCATATAACACCAAAATTTTTCTTCACACATGATCTTAAGAAAGAAGGAACTGTTGATGTCAAACAAATCAAGTCCTGCGACAACCCTGCTGATTTATTCACAAAATCGTTGGTCCCGAAAAAATTTGAAGAGTTGGTCCATAAAATTGGAATGTGTCGTCTTCGAGATATATGTTAAATTTGGGGGGGGGTAATATAATGCACTACACTCTCTTTCCCTTCGCTCGAGATTTTATCTCACTAAATTTTTCCTGACAACGTTTTTAACCAGACAGTATATTATCATACTATAACATCAAATTTTGTACTCTTTTTCCCTAACTATGATTTTCATCACATTGTGGAAACCATAGTAAGGTACGGCCGTTTTTAACGACACAACTAATACCCTGGAATAATTAGAAGATGACTGTTCGAGAGGGAGGGTTGAAATATAATTGAATTAGTCATCTTCCAACTATTCATGATTAGGATAATTTAATTATTATCATCATTATCAAATTAATTAGAAAATCATAATTATGATTCTAGGATGATAATTGTGTGGTTCACAATAATTCTCTAATCCTAAGGAGTTTAGTTTTTCTCCTATATATACGAGTCTTCGCCTTCTCATGTATTACATCTAAGACACCATTAGCACATCTCTAATACACCCCTATGACACCATGCATTAGTTTATTTCGTTACATTTCATAACACAAACAATTTTTTCTTAATAGCACTACAACACCCGAAAACATAATCCCGCCCAAACCATTCTATAAGTAAAACCATCGGAGTGCACTGATAATCGATGGTTCAGGTTTAGAAATGAATGGTAATAGATATATCTTCATATAAATGAAGATCGATGGTTTGGTAATAGTTATGTCTTCATATAAATGAACTACGGAGTATTTTTTAATTGTTCAGGTTTATTTACCAATTATATGTTAAATATAAGCACATAATTGGCAAAGTTGCAAGTTTGAGTTTACGCAAATTCAACTAAGACAATAGAATTGGTTGCATATATATTAGGAGCCTGTTTGGTAGCAGTGAGGACATTAGGTGATAAATCCAATAAATGAAGATATAACTATTACCAGCGTGAAGATATAACCATTTTATACGAATAAGTGTATAACCGTTAGAATAGTGTGATACTGTGATGGAATGAAGAATAAATATAAAAGTAATTGTAATCGTGTATTATTTTCAGAATTATTGCGGATATGATGTAAAGATTTAGGGGAGGAAGATCTTTTCGTTACGGACGAAAAAAGAAAGTGAGAAGATCTTTTCTTTAAAATATACGTAGTTTTTTATTTTTATAAAATATAACACGTAAAAAAGTTATGCGTTTTGTAAAATATAATTGATAAGAACGCACTGATTTATAGTTGTTATCAAGGTGTACTAAAATTAAAATGTGTAGCGTCTAGTTATAAAAGATCATACCAATGAGTCTTTGTCTCTCACATTTAGTTATTTTTATCCCAATTTTTTTCCTTTTTAATGAAAATTGTCTAAATTCATATCACAATAATCAAAATCCATACTTTCCTTCCTCCTTGATTGTACATAATCCAAATGTTATATCACTCTTTGATTAGTCATTAGACATATAAAATATTACTCTGAATTGAGCTGAGTTATGCTTTTATCATGCGGGAGCTTTGAAAATTGACTTGGTCCTAGAAATCTCAATACTTCTAATCGTAATAAAATTAAACATCACAAGCCTCAATACTTCCAAGTAACTTTACTTTTAGATTATGTAGTTTTATAACCTATTTTATGCCTAAAATCTTAATATATATGGTCATGCTTAAATAATAACCGTCTAAAATAAAAATCAAATATTAC